TTTTTTGACCCCCCTTTGCAAAAATAGGAAGGAAAGATGGCCCCCGGGGGTTGGGTGGGGGGGTCATTGGTCTAACCGCTAAGGCATGCAAAACATAAGAGTACGCCCCCCCCCCCCCCCCCCGATGAGTTTTAACCCAACTTCCCCAGTTGCACACTTGACCCAACATGGCTCACGAAAAAAACAAAACCCCTGCAAGGGCTATGTACGGCTCTCTCTTTCCTCACCCCAGCACTTGACGCTCCCGCCTTCCAGCAGCGCGCAGGTGTGCTGCCAACCAGCCGACACCGCGATCGCGACAGCCCCGGTGCCGAGATCCACGTCCGGGAGAAGGTCACCCATTTCCCCAGACTCATCCCCGCGGGTCTCTGCGTCGCCCAGGCCAAGCTCACCGTTCTTGTTGTACCCGAAACACTGTTATATTATATATGTTGGGTGTGGACGGCGGAGGGGATTGATATGGGGCACACACACGCAGTGAGACACAGGAAACGTGCAAGTTGGTTTATGGAGGCGAGAGTCGTTGTGTGTGTGGATGGCGGAGTGGACGATACGAAGGAGAGTGAGCCGCCGTACACCCGGCAGATACACACGCAGGGAGAAAAAAGAACGTGCACGTTGGTTAGGCAGGCGAGAGCCGAGGGGCAGCGTGGGCGGTCGGGCTTGGAGTCCTCCTGTTGGTGGTGTGGATGCGGGCTGCAGAAATCTCACTACATTGTATTCTATTTTTTGTTGTTTGTTCAATCATGCTCAAGGTGCGCGCCCCCAGGGCCGATTTTCCCGTCAAGGGCGGTGCAGCCACTTGCTTCTAGCCGGTAACAAGAACTCCTCCAACAATGAAAGGAATGGGTAGTCTTTCTGTGTGTGTTTCTATTATTCCTTAATCCCCCGAGGAATTCTCTCAGTAGCCTACTATTATAGTAGCCTTTGCAGGTTTTTTTCCATGTACTACTCCAGTATTATTGGAAAAAAACATGTTGGGTTAAAGTATGCAATCGGGGTGAAGTTGGGATAGGGGTAATGTTAGGGATCTCTCGACCTTGACATCGCTGCAAGCATGTGCTGCTTAGGGTGCTCAACCTCGAGGTGGAACCACAGCGCTCAAGTTCTCACTCCTAGTCTCCTCGATGAAAGATGAAAGTTAGTTAGAGGCATGCATAACAGATGAAAGTTAGTTAGAGGCATGCATACAGCCGTTGCCATCACGACTTCGCCCTCAACTTCCAACAACTTCGGAGGTAGACTGCGCCGTGCAACTGCTCGATTGAAATACAAATGCTCATGCCTACAATGATATTCCATCATCGCTGGAACGACCTTTCTTTCTAGCCCAATCGAATACTATGCACGGGTTCTCTTATAGTCGAGTGGCCAAGTATCACGAAATATCGTCTCCTCGGATGCGGAAACAAGCAAAGGCAACGGGTGAGTGTTGATGCTGTGAGCTGTAAAACGAGCAACACTTTTGTACAACTGAGGCGTTGTTTTTCCACGTTCAGAACATAACCGTGTTTTTTTCCGCTGTTGATGCAGCCCTTCGATGGTCAAGGCATGCTGGTATGCATTTTCAATGGTCATGATGCTTGGAACAGCACGCGCGCGAGATTCCACTACACTGCCGTACAACGTATGCAATACCGAAGCTTAAAGTTGCGAGTCGTCGCACACACACACCCGCGCGGTCGTGTTTTGAGCATTTTCACCGCTTCATTTCTATTGTTGCACAACAGCAGGGGTTGGGTGCGATGATGGTCGTGGTCCTTGTGCGCGGAAATCGAAATGAATCATTTATCCACACGATAACGGCGCTTTGATTTTGAACGCACGGGGGTGGGCGCGATGACTCCAAGAAGGACGGCTGTCCGACAACGACTCCAGACCGTGCGACTCAATCCTAGACGGTGCAACTACTGCTGTAATACTTGTAAGAAATGATAGAAAACGTTGTTGTTGTGATACTGGTGGTGTAACGTAACGTGGATACAGCGAGGTCGAGACAAAGGGACGCACTGCTGTTCGATGTACACGATGTTTTATCGGTCTCGCGATGTCTAGATTCAAATCAGCGTTCACAACATTAACATTTCCGCCGTTCTTTCTACTCCAACCCATGGTCACACAGAAGGGTTAACAATGTAGATACGGGTTGGGTGTATCGTTTCTCACTTCTCACCCCTCCCGCCCCTTCCGCGGTGCTCTGCCTTTTCGATTTTTTCATGCGAGAAAGCGAATACGAAGTGTACACATTTTTTTTGTGCTTAGTTGTAGCCTAGTTACAGCAGTAGTATGTACACCACATGTCCGACATATATACACACGGGAGTTCCGACATCAACCACGGGCAGACACCTCCTAGCATCAGTCACCAGTCGGTGAGCAGGCCAACGTGCGACGACAAAATGCCGGCATCCATCCCTGCGCGCCACCCCCATTTGTGCGGACACAGCGAGCGCGACGACATTCGACCCCCAAAAGTAACCCCGCTCTCAAATGGGTAGTCTTTCTGTGTGTGTATTATTTTTACGTACGTACAGCACCCGAACAGACGACCAATTTCCAGATAAAGCAACTTTCCGCCGGAAAAATTGAGAATCGAGGCTCCAACTCTGGCGGACAATGGCACCGCGCAGTCAGTGCATGGCTTCCATCTCGAACTTTCACTTCTGAGCAAGAACTCGAGTGCTGTCTACTGCTGTAAACGCTGTAGAACACGCTGGGGTTGGTCACGTCGCAATGCAGATTCTCCTACATTCATACCCTACACCCTTTTGACGTGGGGCCACAACTTGGTGGAAACATCCGCGAAAAATACACGCATGAGAAACCAAAGGCTGCTGTATGGATGCACGCACATGTTGGTAGATTATTTATCAAGTTGTTGACTTGAGACTGCGTACGGGAGTTGGAGATCTACATAGGACGCGTGTACAGCAGTGCGAACTCTCGGATGGTCGGGTTGGTGTGACAATGCCATCACACCACTTAGAGGCGGACATAGGTACGCATACCCCCATTCCCACCGAACTCGTGAAACATTTGGTTGGGAATGAAATCGAAGAAAAACACCTCTGGTTATTTTACGTGGGACCGAAAAATCACACAACGGCACGAAAGGGAAGATGGCGGATCGATCACCCGAGCCTACCGCTGCCACGAGGATTGGTTCTGCTTGTTGGCTAGCTGGCCTGTTGACTGCTGCCTAGGAGGAACGTATCTATCCAGAGAGACTGCACTCTCCTTGAGTGTGTTGGGTCGAACAACCTCACCAAACACCCCGGGGAACATCAACAACCGCCGCATCAATGTGCAAGCCATGGGCACGAAAAAAATGTGCATACCGGCGTGGCCAACCCTTCCACACCACGAAGAATTCTGCGCCTTCTTCTCACCCAGAGGCTGGCTCTGCATGTTCTTACAGCAGTAGTCGTCGTCCCTCTCACCTTGACGGTAGCGTCAGCCGTCACGACGCACGAGTGCTGGTACCCGCCGGACATGGTAGCGGTGTCTCGGGCTTCTGCTGCGGGCAGGGCAGCCATCACGGCGGCCAGCGCAGCCGCTACCAGGCACACCAGCAAGGAATTCGCCATAGCAGTCCTAGGTCTCCTCCTAACCGGTACTGCTGCAGTGCGGGCCTCGCTGTTGGGCGGCGGCACGCCCGCGTGCCGCCGTTCTCTACGCCTACGAGGGCAGGTCGGGCGCATGCTTGGCTGCTCGTCGCTGTTGATCTGTTTGGGAGGATAGAGAGGTCGCGTCAGCAGCAGTGGGGGTGCTCTGGATTAAATGGACGTCGGATTCTAATTCTTTACGATGGAGAAATCTTCGTCCGTGTCGAATACTTTCAAAAAGCACACCAAACGGGAGGGAGACGTAGATTAGCTGCCGTTAGGGCGCCAGAAAAAATTCGAGTGGCGCACGCACGCAAAGTTCATGTACTGCACTCAGAGGCAGAGATCGCGCGTCCATGTTCATGCTGAGATGCCCACAGCATGCGAGAATTCGCAACGGACGTTAGACATACAACCAACCAACAGCCGATTATTTGTGAGAGTTGGAACCTCTGGCAACCAGACGGCATGCTCGAACAAAAATGATCCGAATTATTGGCTGGCAGAATCATGGAAGAGGGGGCGGGCCTCGCAGCGCCGCCGCCGCCGCAGTTTGTTGTCGCTGCTACTGAACACCTGCTACCTTTTATAACCTTACCAGGAACGACCTCTGCGTATGATGTCCCGCCCTCGGTGCTCACACAGGTACTATAGCACCAGCAGACCCAGGCAATCTGCGACGATTCCGAAGATGTTGTCGTTGTGTGGGTGTGTGGACCTTGTCCCTCCTCTCTCCTCTCAGGCAGTCAGGGATTCCCGGCGATGGGACGTTGACCAACAGGCTTCAAGAGGGCACACGCTGCTGTCGATCACCTGTTTCCGCGTGCCTCTCGATGGCTGAAGCGTACAGAGGAAGACGGAGAGAGAGAGAGAGAGAGCGAGAGGGAGGGAGGGAGAGACGGAGAGGTATGGGAGCCATGGACCCAGCTTTCAGCTCCGAACATGTTCGAAAATATCTAGATCGAGAAAAGGCGAGGAAAAAGGCGGACCAATCAAAACTTTCGACGAAGGGTCCTGGGTCCTGGGTCCTACGGTAGGGGTCGGGTCGAGGGCGAGGGGTGGCGGGAGGTCGGATCGTACCCCGCCGTATCGAGAAGGATACATAGGTACAATGTTACGGAAGCAGCTCTTCAACAAGAACATCAGAGAGAAGAATTATGTCGCAGTATTAGCGCAGTACTTTTTTCACCCCGTCGATCAATGACTACTTATTATTATTATCCCGTGACGCAACTTGCGTGACGAGAGATCGTTTTCGTCACGAGTCATTCATGAGCAACCCCGCGCTCGCCGCGGTCTCATGGTCTTCATCACGTATGGCATAAATAAATATATACGTGAAACGCATTTTTTTGGGCATGTTATTCAATAACAACAGCAAGTAAATGTAGTCGATCAAGAGTTACGCGGGAGAAGGGGCCGATGAGCGTTCATTCCTTGAAGGCAAGCACCTCAAAGGTATATTGCCTATATATATATAGTTGACTGCCACCTTTCAACCATCTACGATGACTAGTGCTGTAGTAGGTGTGGCTGGCGCCGGTCTCACAGCAGTGGAGAACCTATGGAAGATGACAAATTATAGCGAAGCTTCGCTATGTATTGTCATCTTCCATAGTGGAGAACACACCCGCATACCGTATATGACACAAGATAACCCACCCCCTGGACCGATTTTCAAAGCTCGATTACTCCACGACGAAGAGGATGCATAAATGAAACAATACGTTTTCGAACAGCTCTCGACGGAACGGTTCCAGCGCCGCCGTTTTCGGCGCTGTGACTCTTCCTGCTGTTGAGAAATCGAGCTTTGAAAATCGGCCAAGGGGGTGTGTTATCTTGTGTCATATACGGTAGAGACAAACTCCTCTGTGTGTGTTCAGAATCTTCCTCCGGTCGTCTGTGCGACTCCAACTGATGATGCGCTGTGGTGATGGTGGTAGTAGTGTTCAAACAGCGCCCAGAATATAGGAGACGAAACCACGTGCGCTGTTTTCTTTGCACTATACGCATATATATGTACGGATGCCGCCATCAAGCAAGATGCCACACGGCGGGTATCTGATATCATGAATCATCAGTGGCTAGGTTTTGGCGGTTTCAGAAATTTGCAAATTTGAAATTTGCATGTGAGCAGTTTCTCGGTGGGTGCAAATGTGCAAATAAATGGGTGGCAAAGAGTTCGAACTCCTTCGCTGGGGTATACCCTAGGGGCTCCGTGTATCAATGGATGGGAAAGAGCAGAGAGAGAGAGCGAGAGAGAGCGAGATGATACAGACGTCCGGTTACACCACCACAGGTAGAAGAGTACGAAGAAGCAAGCGTCCTTCAAGGGTGAAACTTGGACCTGTGCTTTGACCTTCCTGTGCGTGCTCCCTGCGTCCCGGAGGAGCTGTCTGTCGGTGCGTCCTTTACCGCTGAAGGCGTTTTCTCGCTCTTTTATACCAGATTTGAACACAGCGGCAGAGGGGGACACAACGACCGAGAGACCGAGAGTCACCCGCAAAGAGCGAAAGGAGAAGATTTGGCAACGAAGCGCGTAGACAACGTATGCACCCAGCAGGAGAGGTCGCGTGGAGTATCACTTCTACTTTGCGCTGGGACGGCAGTGACGGGAGAGTCGCTTTGGCTGCAAGCTGACTCGGTGCAGGTGGAAAACCCGCGGAGGAGGTGCGGCAGCAGCATGGCTGGGCGCAAGCACGACAAGGAGCCTGGCAAGTCTGCGAGCATAGCACCGCCACAGAGGCTCGCGCTCAGTGACAAGACTGCACAAGCGGTCTTCGTCGACACAGAGGTCAGTCACAGCGGTGTAGGTTGCTCTTCGGTTAGCCGACATGTAGCCGGCAAAGGCGGCACTGGATTTGTTCACTCTGTAAATAGATACCATACAATTGTAGCCCCCCGGCCGGTTCCATATGTCTCTGAGAGCAAGCAGCAGTCAGCGACTCTGTAACCATCGGCGATGTAACGGCACCATGCACGCTGCGCCGGGAGAGCACATGTACATGCTTAGGTGAGAATCCTAGGTGCTACGGCTCCGCGGTGGTGAGTCTCTGCTCGTCAGCTGGGTTACGCAAAGTCCGAATCCTATTCGCCTGCACCGTCCCTGGCAGCAGGCGCAAAGACCAGCAGCATTCCTTGATTCGTTGCGTGTTCAGCAGCTATCTAGCTAGCCATGTAGCTCTGTTCGAGCGACGGCCGGTTAAGAGTCGCCAGAGATGCATAGTCTGACTTGCGAGTACTTTGCTCGAGGAGCGGGCAGAAATATGTCCACCGTTGTAAAAAATCGACCACTATCGACGGAAAGAGAGCGGGGCGGACGCATCTTGCCGCATTTTTTTTCAAACTTTTCAAACCGTTTTTTCACCGCGACGCAATCCTAAAAAACTGAATTCATTATTGCTAATCTGTCTCAGACTCTTT